GCACTTCTATATTCCGCTGTATTAAATAAGACTGAAATACCCAGAATATGCGCATAAACATGACATTGACACACTTGGCATTTTGTTCTCGTTCAGAGGCTAAATTTCGATCTGCAGTTGACTGTTGAGGCAAACCCATTCTCGTACACCGCGTCCTTGTCATGCCCTGTTGATCGTGTGTATAAGGCGGGCTCTGGGTACGAGAATGTGGCATAGTCTAGCTCCATTTAAAGATTGGCTACCTCCACAAAAATAAAATCTACAGGTATGGGTGTACGTATTAGAGAGGTGTACGTATTAGAGAAGGGTACGTATTAGAGAGGGGTACGTATTAGAGAGGGGTACGTATTACAAAGGTGTATGTATTAGAAAGGTGTAGGTATTAGAGAGGTGTACGTATTAGAAAGGTGTACGTATTAGAGAGAGGTACGTATTAGAAAGGGGTACGTATTAGAGAGTTGTACGTATTAGAGAGGTGTACGTATTAGAAAGGTGTACGTATTAGAGAGGTGTTCGTATTAGAGAGGTGTACGTATTAGAGAGATGTACGTATTAGAGAGGTGTACGTATTAGAGAGGTGTACGTATTAGAGAGGGGTACGTATTAGAGAGGCGTACGTATTAGAAAGTTGTACGTATTAGAGAGGTGTACGTATTAGAGAGGTGTACGTATTAGAGAGGTGTACGTATTAGAGAGGTGTACGTATTAGAGAGGTGTACGTATTAGAGAAGGGTGCGTATTAGAGAGGGGTACGTATTAGAGAGAGGTACGTATTAGACAGGTGTGCGTATTAGAGAGAGGTACGTATTAGGAAGGTGTACGTATTAGAAAGGTGTACGTATTAGAAAGGCGTACGTATTAGAGAGGTGTACGTATTAGAGAGGTGTACGTATTAGGATATAAATAGGATATAAAAAATGTTATAGCAATAGGATTCAAAAATCTTATAGCAATAGGATTTAAAGTTGTATTGAATCTTATAGCAACAAGATTTACCTCTGTAATGACACCGTTACGTAAAACTATGATCTGATCCACTTGAGGCAGAAAACGAACTTGATGCGTCACAAGTACTCTTGTCTGAAAGAAAGTTTTAAATTAATAAAAACATTTAATAACTGCTTGCATGTATAAGTCTATAAACATGCAAGAAAAACATGCAAACTTTATTGTCGATTGACCATCCATATGAGTAGTCATAAACATTAGAATAAACATCAGAAACATATGAATTATAAACATTAGATAACAGTACGAGACAGCAATTTCGTGATACAGTAAATCAAATTATTAAACTCAGTGTTCCGAAGGGTAGTGCGAAGTTTCTATAATTACTATAATTTACTAATTACCCACCCTTTCACATCAATGAAAAACATGTGAGCTGATTGGATTTATTATTAACCCATTTTGTTGCATTGCGCCCTAAAGCGCCATACTTTATTATTTCACTCTGTCTAACGCCAGACGATTTTGTTTCAGGGCGCTTATATATATAGGGTGGCGCACGCCTAGCCTTGGTGCAGCATCAATTCGGGTTGAGGCTGCACGCACGCAGGCTAGCGTACACCCTGATCGACGTGTGATGCGGATGTAGTGCATTTAGCAAAAATTCTGCTGTCAGAGAGAATCGATAATCAGCGTGCTTTTGATTACTTTGATGTTGACAAAATACAACCTATCTGCACTTCATCGTGTTCTCAAACTGTACATGTACATATACCTGTACATGTACATATACCGGAAAACGTTGTTTTCAGCCTCGATATGTCCTAAGAATACACTTTAACTAAAGCCAAGCTTCATAAAGTATAAGAACGAGATATTAAGCGAATAAACTTCAACATACCCAACGTTCAAAGGTGCTGTTATTATCGTCGTTGTAAAATAATATTTTCCCCGCCATAAAAGTCGGCAAAGATCAAGATTTTAATATTAAAATATTCCACAATAAATCCCTCTCACAACGGTTTCTACGCCAAAAATGCGATGTATCCATAGGAAAAGCGATATTTTACTTGTATACTTAAATATTTTTCTTTCCACAAGATGAAAAAAATGAGGAAAATCGCCAAAAAATAAAATGAAAGAAAATCTGTTGTTGCTTGATTTTCGCGCGAAAACATGCTTGTCGATCAGTGAAATTACTGGCGTTGCACCACCTTAAACCGCCCTATGTATAAGCGCCCTAATTCTATTCGTTAAGGGGAGAGCGCTGGCGCTCAATCACACGCAGCGCTTAGTGGGTTAACCAGACTATCTGTCAATGTGTCTAGTTAACCTACTGTATTAAGTTGCACTGCGCCCAAATGCGCCCTGCGTTACTATTTTAACCTGTCTAACGCCAAACGATTTTACTCGTCGAAGGGAGAGCGCTGACGCTCAATGGGTCAAAAAAAATAAATAAAAATATAAAACCAAACAATATCTCTTAGACTATATGGAGTAATCAGATCTAATCAGATACAATTACAAGTTTTAAATTTGGGCGATTGGACCCTACGAATCTGGTGAAATGTCCCTAATCATGTTTGATGTCAACTTACTTTCTTTTTCAACATTCCTTCAGGTCCAATGACATGATCAAAGATATGTTTTCCAACATGAGAGTCAACAGCACTAAGAGGATCATCAAGTAAATACACATCAGCATGATTATATAAAGCACGAGCAAGACTGACACGCTGTTTTTGACCACCACTTAAGTTGATACCCTGAAAACAATATAAAATAAAAGGCATCAGTTAATTTAATTACAGGGGTTAAAAATGCTTCAGAAATGCCGACAAGGTTGTACACTGTATAACTAACACTAAGTTGGCGCAGGAAGATTTTTGGAGTAATACAACACCCCTCGGTTTAGGAGGTATTAGAGAGTTTTAGCTTGACGTTTACGGCAAACGTCAAACCGCTAACGAAGTTTTTGATTTTACAAGTCTATTATAACAGCTTTTACACCAGTTTTGAAATATAAACAATTATTAAACTTGTGCTCTTTAGCAACGATTTAAAAGAAAGCAAATTAACTACTAGTCACGTATTCGCGAAAGCAGTAAATTATGATTTGGCGTTTGAAGTTTACGTTTGGCGTATAAATTTCATGCTTTAACGACTATACAAGCCATCATAGCAGTTCAAGCATGAAATTTATACGCCAAACGTAAACTTCAAACGCCAAATCATAATTTACTGCTTTCGCGAATACGTGTCTAGTGGTTAATTTGCTTTCT